TTCAGGTTTTGAAATTACACGGATCCTTATGGCGGAAAGAAAGTTCTGACTTTTGAAAACTGACTTTTCGATGCTTAAAAATTGGAATTTGGGAGCGTATTTTTCACAGAATATGTATTAAGACTAGTTTTACTTGAAATCATTAAGATCTCAATTTTTTTTAAAAAAACTGCACTTATGCGCCTTGTCTTCCAAGCCTCCTAAATGATACTTTGATCAATATTTAAAAGGACTGCATATTTTTCAATTTGAAACTACAATTTTCAGCTCATCTGTGAAATCACTTATATACATGGGGGAAACTATTGGTATATACTTTGTTTCTTATCTGAGCCAGAAATCGTAGTTCCAACTTTGCAAAATATAGTTGAAAAAATCACTGAGAGAATAGCTCAGCCAGAATGATCGATTATCGATATTTCCCCATGCGAAGCTATGGTAAAGAATCGATTATTGAGGTGTTCGTTGGGAACACCCCTGTTTATTGATGTTTTTCCATAGGACTGAATGGGAGATAAATCTACACTATATTGCAGAGCACACCACACCACTGCGAAAGTTCGTTCCAGGTAGGTAAGTATGACGGAATGGAAGAGAAAAACAATTAGCAATTTTCATTCAGAACTTCAACAAAGTGTGTGCACAAACATCTAAAAGACTAAAACATCCTGGATTATCGGGGATTTTAGAGAAAAATTCCTAAAATAAAATCGATTTTTCCAATCGATCGATCGATTCCAAAGCGTCTCTCTATGTTTTGGCTCTCCACTTTTTGACCCGAAGCACTGCCCGTGAAATCGGCAACCCCCAGGGACAGGGATTTGCGTGTCTTAAAAAGTGCGTGCTCGCGTGTTCCGGGTAATCAAGTGCCAAAACTTGCATCGTAAAACACCCTCTGACTTTTCTGGATCGGGAGGCAACTTTTGCACCGGGAGAGCGGATAGATCTACTACTAGGATCTGGCTCCCGAGCATGCACGTTGGCGTGCGAAACTCATGAACATTCGACCAACGATATCGAATCTCATTTCAAAGGCTTCGTATTGTCTAAGTGCTTGAAGGACTAAGACAGGAGGCCTCAACGAGAGGTACCATGCAAACACGCACAATCCACAGTGCAGACTGCGGTAACTTACGTTATACTTATCTCTTCGAAAAAGACCAATATATCTTTCTCTATCAACTACGATAGAGTCAATAGACCGCACAGGGTTATTCAAAAGTTACGCACCACTAGCCATAAGGGGGGTGGCCATTTGAAATTTTTGGCCATTTCCGGCCCATTTTAGAAACAGCATACATGCTCTAGGTTTCCCTAGGCAGATATGTGCTTTTATGGTAGAACCAGAAATAGTGGTTCCTTATTGCAAAATGTAATCAAATTAGAACTAAAGTTATGGCCAGTGGTGCGTGACTTTTGAATAACCCTGTATATCCAGATATCGCGAACTTAAGGCTTGCCTTCAATACTACCGCGTAGACAAAATAACATACCGAGGTGGACAAATAATTATGGATCATATTTTGCAATAAGGTACCACTATTTCTACTCATTTTAGAGACAATATAAGTGCCATTTGTTTCCCTAAGCAGAGAGGTGCTTTTATGGAAGAGCCAGAGGTAGTGGTTCCTTATTGCAAAATGTGATTCAATTATCTCCTCAAAAAACACACATCGACGATGACACTCTCAAACCACGTATCTCAGTTTGTGACATTAAACTGGAAAGACAAGTTTCTTAGATCTAGAGTCCAGATTGATTTGACAAGACAAAATACTCTTGATTCAACTGGATGTTTGCTTCAATCGAGAGTCAAGACTCAAAATTAAAGCAGATTTCCTTTTGATTCAAGCAAAAATCCGATTGAATCAAGAGTATGTTTTCTTGTCAAATTTTCCAAGAGACTTTGGATTCAGGAGACTATTTTTTCCAGTGTTGCAAACTTCCTGCCACACTTAATCTTTAAAATTGAGAACTACTCAACGTCAATTCTTAAAAGCTTCCGCGACTTTTCTTCTCTGTGCGAAAAAAAAACTTAAAAAAATAACGTTAAAATTGTTCTTCTTTAAAAAAATCAAATATAAGAGCGGAGATTTGTGAACACCGAAAACGAGATACGTGGTTGGGAGTTTCACCATTGACGTACTTCTCTCTGTATCAACTTTGATTGAGCCAATAGACAGTGCAAGAACCTATTTACAGATATCCTGAACACGAGGTTCCCCTTCAATTTTGCTGCGTAGGCAAGAAACGCACAGAAAAGCACGCATTATTCGAAAGACACAGATATACCTCGCTTAATTTATTAATTTCGATAGGGCCAATAGACTGTAATGCGTGAATTTGATGACAAATATCATGGACACACATACATTTATGTCGAATACAACAATGTGCAAATGCTTTAAATCAAAAGCAACTACGAATCACGCAAATCCTGTGTATGTAGGTCTTTTTTGTACACATACTTCTATTCGCGCAAATATGAGGAAATACAATGACACCAAACGCCTCAAAGGCACCTCACCTTGACATTAAAAACTTTTATCCTGCTTGAACAATTTGATCAGAAAACTGGAGAAACTATATCTTTATCATGAACTTGCAAAATCAAAAGCACATTGCTCAGAGAAAAATCGTAAATGTGTCACCATTGAAAATGCAAAATTCTGAAATCAAACTCCTTAAAAGGTGGTGTCTGCGCTTACAAAAACTATCCGATCAGCCATTATTGAAGGGCAAACGGTAAGTTTAGTTACCTTAAAAGTTGCGTTTTTAGATCCGAATCAGATTGGAAAAACAAAATCTGCCGACTCATTACTGGACAAAAAGTAGAGAATTTTTGAAGTTTTGGAGTTGTAAATCAACCTACCTTTGCGTAGTGGTAGGGTGACGTAAATGTCACGGCAATCCTCCGAGTCCAGTATTGACATTTACTCAACTAGGTTAAGTTCCATAATGAACATTCATTCACAATAACAGCGAAAATAGCGCTCAAATGAAATAATATCACGTTACAGATCTATAGTTCAGCATTTTGTCTTCATTTCCACAATGGCATCTCATCCAAGTGAAAGCACACCACCACACATTCAAACAAGTTTACTTTGACCTATAATTCCACATTCCGCCCGCAAAAACCACTTTGAGGCTAAGGATCGCGCGCGGCTCCGAATCGTAAACAGTAGTGAGAAAAACCGGAGGAAACAAAATAGCAATACCCATTACTTAAAATCAACAAAAATTATTAGAATATATTTTGCTCGGTGAAAGTTCAACGAAACTAGGCTTGTGTATGTACTGACACCCGAAGGCGAAGTTAGTTAACGAAGAAAAAGAAGAAAATAAACACAATATAAGCAGCGCGCAGGAACCCGCCCTTTCACGCGGGCAGGAGGGATGATAGGGAAAGCTGCAACTTCCCCTATCGATTTTCCTCTTTGCGTCACAGACCGCGTGGTGCAGCACCTACCAACGTCCCTTCTTGTGTGGGACCCGGACCACACGGTTGCCATGATATTCAGTTCTTGTTCTTCAACAGGGTTGGACACTCGGGGTTGTATTCATAGTCGTTCCTTACAGCTCCTTTTCTTATGTGAGGAGGTCTCATAGACGTTGAAACTACCAGACCAGGTATATCTCGGTTTGCGGCATTGAAGACTTCTTATCATACTTTATTTTTAAAATAGAAAAATGCTCGTCGTCAATTCTTGATAACTTCCGTGATTTTTCTTCTCTGTTCAATGAAAACTCTGGGAAAAATTCAAGAAAAGATCATGATTTTTTCTTCTTCAAAATAATAAAATGGGAGCGGAAATTTTTATACACCGCAAACGAGATACGTGATCTAGTAGTTCCATCAATCGATATGGTTTAAATCGCGACTGAGGGAGCTTCAAGAAATCCATCTCGTATATAGAATTTTATAAAGGACAATTTTTTCAAACCCCGAATAAAATTTAGCGGAATAACTTTGGAGATTAATCACCTTTAGGGATTATGATGATTTGTCACTGCAAAAAGTACAAAATGCGGAAAAACGAATTCTAAGATTTTGAAAAATTTTTAGGTAGTTGCGAGCCTACCTTAAAATTCACTAAACTCGCTATATATTTTCTTTCGCATTCTGTATTTTTAAATAATTCAATCCGTCACAAGGATCCATTTCGTTTATTCTGCGGAGTTTACTTGAGGCTTGCAAAAATTGTAAATCTATCGTGATAAGAAAAAATACCGTATGAACCCTCAAAAATGATCAAACTGCCGATAAAAATCGAATTTTCTAACGACTTCATGCATTTTTTCTACTTAGCAATTAACTCGTGCTCCGCTCGGGACGCAATCGCAATCGCACGCGTTAATTTAATCTCTCTCAAATAAAACTGATACCATTTTTACGATCAAAGCTTGTAATCAGGGCATTGACTTACGTGGGTCTCATTAAAAGGGTTTATAAAACTCTGCCCTGGCATAAGAAGTTGAGTAAAAGAAAATTTGAAATCGGCCTAGTAGTGCCTCAGTTGGATCTTCAAAGTAAGTCTACGATAGTGTGAAATCGGTTTTCCAGTCTAAGTCTCAGGTTTTTTTTCTTTTCGTTGAGGGGAATATTTTTTGATAAATGGTGGCCTCCACTCATTAAAATAATCCTCAAAAAAGCCTCCTATTAAAAAAGCAAAACTTGATCGGAGATTTTTATTGTTGCACTGGAAATACGCATTTCTCGATTTTATTCAGGATGTTTGTGGCAACAATACATTAAAATTTAATAATTAATCGATCTCATTTAATTGTATCTATTTATTTAAATGACTTCAGAGCACAAAGCGTTTTAGATGTACTTGGAGGTTGAGACCATACAAAAGTGGCTCCTATTGTAACATTCAAAATTTCTACATTTTGATGAACGATGGATTATTTTTTTTTATAAAGGACACAATAACCTATAAAAGTTGTCCAGTGACATTTGCCGCAAAATTCCCTCACATCTCAGTCGACATTCGATACAATTTTTTCTGAAAAACAACATCAGCTTCACTGAAAATAAAGAAATACTGCGGAAGTTGCAAAACGTCGCAATACGGTATTTCTGCTCCAAGCAGTTCCTTGAGATGAGCATTTTTTCTTGAAAGTAATTATCAATGTACTTGGAAAGGACGCTCCATTCACAAGTCATTCTTCATCAGCTGTTAATGTTGCCAAAACAAAGTAACCTCCAAAATTTATTGTGTCAAAATTCACAAGTATCATATAATTATGATTAAAGTATTGAATGTTTGATTGAATTGTATTATGTGTAATCATGTCGGTGGCAAATTTTTCGAGGTGGAAAATGTAAGTTCCAAGTAATTCTATTCATTCATGGCTAAAATTCAGTGCTTAGGTTTCAGATTTGATAACCTTGAAAATAAAGATGCACACTCGTGTCTTTGGTTTTTGTCGTAGATAGTCAAGTCGCTCAGGAGAGGTGGGTGGGGGGTCGTTGGGTGTTTCACCGTTTCACGTCACCTCAAGATGGTGCGCCTTGATTTTGCGTTTTTATTTTTTGCGCTAAGACCTATTCCTCGTAGGTTTAGAAAGACACGATTTTAAACAACCTGAAATATAGACCAAACCAGTTTTTTCAACCTAAACTAGGATGGGAAGTAGTGGTATAGGCATGCATTTTGAAAACTGAGTTTGCGGGCAAATTTCGTCGTGCTGTTTCATAATTTTGCCGTCGTTTTAAAAGTTATTTTATTTTATTTTTTATTTCTATTTTTTTTATTTTTTATTTTTTTTGCAATTACACTCGTGCTGATTGTTCCTCACTAGCGAGAAGCTCATGACTGAAGCACGGGTCTGGACGCTTTGTATTAAATTATAATTTTAATTTTAATACTTGCTCTTATCATCAATTAAGTAATTTTTCCGAATATATCGAGGTAATGGACCAGAATTGAGGAGAATTCCGGAAAAAGGGCACATAGCAAAAAAATTGCGTTTGAGAGAAATGCATTTGAAGTTCTGATCATTACTCTATGGCCACTGACAGTGACTTTCGTTCGAGATAGGGAGTCCAAGCTGCGATGAAAGGTATCATCCGTGGCCGGAAATTAATGATGGAAGCTTAAAATGCATTTTTCTCAACGCTATTTTTTGCTATGTGCCCTTTTTCCGGAAAGCTCCTCAATTGTTTCGATCAAGAAAATGCGATCAAAAAATAAAGACGAAACTCTTTTCCAATTATTTATCAACCGGATCTACGTCAATCAATTTACGTTTACCTGTTTCCATCGCAGGGTCGGACGGGCTCGCATCTGAGGGCGTAGACCCTTGGCTGGTTAAAGGGGCGTAATGTGATATTTCCGGGTAAGGCATCTACCCCCCGTGGAGAAGGGTTCAGAAAATTTTGGCAAAGCAGCGCAAGTTTACGCTATTTTCAGGTTCAAAGTTAATTAATTTTATTGAGTAAAAATTTGCAAAACTGAACGAATTGAAGTAACTGACAGACTTCTACAATTTAGAAAAAAAACATAAATAAGTAAAGCCACTAGTCAAATCTAAGCATCATTATTTCCAAAAGAATCGACCCAGCGCTGCTGTTTACATGAGCTCAAGACTTCAGTGGCGTGGCGTGAATTGCGATATATCGATTGTTATGCCATTTAAACCTATGAAAAAAGATCGATTATCAGGGTGTTCGCAGCGAACACCTTAGTAATCGATTCTTTACCATAGCTTCAAATGGCGAGATATCGATAATCGATCATTCACGCCACGCCACTGCAAGACTTGGGTCTGGGTCTGCAAATCCATCCTAAAAATAATCACACAAGAACCTGAAAAAAGAAAAAAGAACGAGTATCAACACAGCCGAAGGTAGGAGAGATGTGTTCGGGCCTCTTTTCTAACTTTTCTCCCGAATCTGAGCGACACCTCAGTGACAGCATATCGTAGAGCATTGAGAACTCACGCCTCGCGTCATCGCGCCTTCAACTTTTCAGATGCAGCACGGACGTCCATCAAGTACGAATAGTTGTATCTCTGCGCCGTCGTAAACGCGCATCCTTTCCCTCGCTGTATTCCCATACTGTGTTTGTTTCCGTCTGTCTTATTCATGATGGTGCTTCAAGCACCACGTGAGTAACACAGCTGAAGGTAGGAGAGATGTATTCGGGCCTCTTTTTTAACTTTTCTCCTGAATCTGAGCGACACCTCATTGGCAGCATATAGCAGAACACTGAGAGCTCACGCTCCGCGTCATCGCGCCTTCAATTTTTCAGATGCAGCACGGACGTCCATCAAGTACGAATAGTTGTATCTCTGCGCCGTCGTAAACGCGCATCCTTTTCCTCGCTGTATTTCCATATTGTGTTTGTTTCCGTTTGTCTTATTCGTGATGGTGCCTCAAACTAATAGCATAGAGGAGAGCAATGTGAGTTTACGACTCACGCCATCGCGTCTTAATTTTTTTCATGTGGAATGTGGACATCCATCTTGCGCGAACAGTTGTATCGCGTTTACACTTTAGATGTTTCTCATTTTTGAATTTCGAGATAAATTTAGGTCATGTTTGCCCGAGATATGCTATGGTATATCCAAATCAATAGTCATTTTGAAAGGGAAGAAATATCTCTCAAGAGTCTACAAAGAGTGAGTATGTGTAAAAATCGAACCGACCATCGCTTCTAAGGGAGTTACACATAGCGAATGAATGAGGGGGATGATGAAGCGCGTGTATGTCAACGAAAAGGTGAAAATTTCACAAAAAAGTGTTTACGCTTCAGGAAGTAGTTCTTGGACCTCTATTCATGACTATCATGCGATAATCACCTTTCTTTACTCCTAACTCTATCTTCTTCTGTTCATTTAAGAAATTGTCCACAAATATTCTCGGTCGTAATTTTTTTCTCTTCTTATTTTGCTATCTGTCAGAGGGGTGCGTTTTCGGCGCGCCAAGGGGGCGTATCTGCCAATGGCAGATTGGCCTTATGGCCAGTCCGAGCCTGTTCCAACGATTCTTGTAAGTCTGGTACTATTTCGATCCACCTGTTTATTGAAAAGCTCTTACTTGTGTGTGTGCCGAATACGCATGCCCTTTCAGGATATGATACCACTATTCGACCACGTGGGAGCTCGTTTAGCCTACACGAAAAATTGAAGGCGAAATGATTTGGTGTACCTCTTCTGGTTTCACAAAAAGCTATTATTTGAGTTTCCACTAAATAACAATAATGTTTAAGCACTATTTATACTTTTTGAAAAGTGTGAATTATGCGTAATTAGTAGTATTATTTCTTTTTTTAAATAGGCTTTATCACAAGACACAAGCCAGAAACTGAACTCTAATACACAAATATAGAAAGTAAAAAGGAGGAAAAGGAGAATAGGTGACGTTTCCTTAAAAAATGATTTAATATAAATCCTGATAAAAAGAAATAACTAACAAAATATAAATTAATGTTCGAAAAGGAATACTTACATTAGTGTACTAACTTATTTTCAAACGCGATGTTCAAGTGTTATGCATACGGGGTGGCTTATAATTCAGTCACTTTTTCATGCGTAACTCACAATAATGCCTTCATAACGTGACGTAATTTGAATGTTCCATTTACCTTAGATTGAGAATTTTTTTTTGTCATGAGTGCATTTTGTATGTTTCAGAGTCCCTGCCTGGAACTTACAACGTATCAATGGAGCAATAATTTTTGAGTTGACTTGAAGCAAGTTAAAAAGCTATTTCAGCATCTTTTGCCTTACTTCCGGTAATTTGAAACCCGGATCTTCCATACCTATGAACGAATAGACTAGACATGCGTTTAACCCACGCATTTGTCGAGTAAAAAGAAAAAAAATACTTTTCTACCGATGATAGAAACTTCTGCATTCCTTTTTGTGACACTAATGTCTGTTGTTTTCTCTATTTTGTCATAACTTCTCGAAATTCTTGAATTTTGGCAAATTAATTCAGTTGCAGAAATGAGTGACCAAATTATCGGTGAAACACGATAAAGTTTGTTGACATAGTTTATGGTACAGTAAAGTTTACACAAGGTAAGCGCACATTTGAGACACGGCGAAAATGGCTCGTTGGATAGGCTCGAAATTGAAGGACGAACCTGAATGCGGATTTTGCGGGAAGTTCCTGACAGATTTTGCAGGTTCCATGGCCGACATCCTGAATACTTGTACCTGCCCGATCCTGAGTTCGAGCAGTATAGAATCCATCAACAACGATTTTAGCTCGGGGCTGTACGACATCCCACCATGGCAGTCAGAATCGTTCCCTCATCTCCGTGCCTTCTCTCAAGGTCTCTCCTGTCCTCAAATTTTGGACAACCTATCCCGCACCGAGTACATACCGGAGTACAACACGTGTGACCCGTCCGCTTTGAATGGTTTGGTGGCGTACAATGACGCTAGGTCTTACTCTAGGATCTCAAACCCGCCAGGGCCGAACAGCTACGATGCAGGCGTCTACGAGACTCCGGCCAGTGTGTGCTTCGACGATGAAGAACGAAGCTGCCTTGCGTGCAAGAAGCAACCCTCCGGAGTATACTCTAAGGCTTGCAGCTCCTTGCCTGCAGGCACCAACAGCCCGGTGAGAGATGAAGGTCCGGACAATTGCATTATTAATTGTTGGTACGATAAGAAGAATAACAGCCTTATCTGCAGCTACGAACCGAAAGACGAACGCGATTCGGACGCAAGCAAAAGTTGCGATTCGGAATCATTCTGCTCCCAAAAGGATGAGCTCTTCTTCTGCAGCGACGATGAAAATGATGATTTCCCGAGCGGTAGATTTTCTCTGAAGCTCACGACTAAAAATCAAAACTCCTCGAATCCTTGCAGTCGCTTTTTCGGACCAAGCCAAAGCTATTTGGGAAAGCACCGGAAGGCCATCGATATGGGGAGAAGAGACACGGCATGGCTTCGGAAAACGGACAACCAGGATGAATGTAGCTTGAATATCTCTCTTTATTCGGCTGGAGGCTGTATCGACCCACGGCAACTCCGGACAAAGATTTATAAAAAATATCGTGGGGAAGAGGCGAGACACAATATTAAGGATTTTATCGAAAGGAAAAAGAAGGAGATTGTCAAATCTGTATCACGAAAAGATGAATCTTGGCTGCAGAGGGCGAAAGAGGCGGTCGCTAGGTATGTTTATGACATGGAGGGAAATTTGAAAAAGGATGGTAAGGAGGATTCTCCTGGTAAGACTGAAGTGAGAAGAGCTAAAGACTCGCCTGAGAAAGAAATGGTGTCGGATGAAGAGAACTTGAAGGCAGAAGTGCAGAACTGTGAAGTGCACGCCAACTGTTTTGGTGAAGAGAAAGAAGCGGAATCTGAGTGTGTCTCTGAAAACGAGGCAAATGAGAGAAAGGAGATGGACGCTGAAAACGAGGAAAATGAAAGAAGAGAAAATGAAGTCAAAGAGGCTTGCATAAAGTGCTTGGGAGAGATCGAAGAAAACGTACAGAGGGATAAGCGAGAGAAAAAAGAGATCGCCAAGCATCTTACTGATTGTGAGGATAATTTAAGGAAGGAAAAAACATCTGAAGAAATGCTCGCTGAATGTATTGCAAAGAAAAAAGCTCGTTCTAGAAGAGAGAGTAAGACGAAAGAGACGAAGCATGTTGTAGAAAGCAAAGAAAATACTAGGAGAGACATTCAAGCTATAGAGATGCTCACTAAGTGTGGGTCAAAGAAGGAGGAGAACTTGAAAAGAGAGAAACTGGCTGCGAATAATACTGGATGTCTTGCAGAGAAAAAAGAAAACGAAAGGAAAGAAAAGGAAACGAAGGATGTGTACATTCATTGCACTTTAGAAGATGAGTCAAAGGAAAATGGAGAAGAGCAGATAACTGCGGCTATCTCTCCCTGTATCGCAGAAAACGATGAAGATGAAAAAGAAGAAAGAAAGGTGAAAGGAGCTTTTGCTGAGTGTATCGCTCAGAGAGAGGTAAGAGAAATTACGGCAAAGTGCAAGGCAAAGAAAGAGGCTGCTGAAAGGAAAGAAAATGATGCTGATGACGCGTTTTTTGAGTGCATTGCTGTGAAAGAAACAAACAGACTGAGGGAATGTGCCGGCAATGAGGTGCTTGCGGTGTGCATTGCGGATACTTTGAGAACTAAGATGACGGAAGGAGATAGAAAATGCACAACTGAAGAGTTCCGAGAGAAATTTGCGGCTGAGAATTATGCAGATGGATGGTGTAAGCAGGAGGAAGTGAAACTCGGACGTCAAGATAGCGAAAAATCAAAGGATTTGAGCTTGTTCTCCTTGAAAGGGAGTGGCGTTGAGAAAAGAAGCAAAAACGATAAAAAGCCCAAGTGCACGGGGAGAATTTGTCACAGCAAAGTATGCAGCGAACTTTGTAATCTGCTAACTGAAAAAGAATCTGAGAGAATAGGCGAGAAACATGACAGCTTGTGCAAAGCCAGTGCCCCAGAAACCGAGAAGAAACGAGATAGAAGGTGCAATCATTCCACTGAGCAGTGGGCCGAAGAAAAGTCTGTCCGCAATCAAAAGGAGTTTCCGGAAACGCCTTCCAAAAACCTTCAGTCTAAAGTGTCTTTCAAGGATTGTCCAGTGGAGCAAGTGCCCGCCAAGGCAAGCGATCTGTCCAATTGTGAGCCAGAGCCCTGCAAGAAAAACGCCAAGAAGTCCAATTTTTGTCAGACCAGTGTGCACAAACTCAGAGAAGCAAAACGCCGCGCTAAGGCACGAAAAGAGGCCAAAAAACGCGCCGCCCAACTCAATAAGCGTGAAAAAAACTCAAACGATGGACTGAAGTCGTCGTGTTTGCGTGCATCCGCGAGCGAGCGCTCCAAAACTGAGTGCGGTCGTCGAGTTTGTAAAAGCCCCGAAAAGTCCCGACAAAAATTGGCAAAAGACAGGAAGTCACAGGACTCCCGTAGGACATCCTGCAGTCCAGAAAAGTCGAGACGCAGGTCACAACACAGCTGTCGTTCTTCGTCTGGATGTAGCTCAGGCAGGTCAAGGCGAAAAGGTCACTGCTCGGCCTCCGACTGTAGTCGAAGACGGAATCAAAAGTCTTGTGCGCCTCCCAGCTGCATCCTAGACACGTCACGGGCGAAGTCACCTCAAGATTCCTACCTACGTCCGAGCCATAGTCCAGCTAGGTTACGGCGAAAATCAAGACAGAAATCCTGCAGCTCGGGCAAGTCCCGATCCTGCTCTCCGTCCCGTGGTAGTATCATCAACAAAGACCCATGTTTCGAGATGGCTTTAGAATCGGAGCCAACAGACTTGATGCCGGTCAAGCAGTGTTGGTCCAAGAGGAGCTCGAGGGAAATCATCGAAGACGCTATTAGGAAGTTGGAGGACATAGAAAAGAAGAGTTTGTCTGGGATCGTGACCCCACCTAGAGTCTGTTCCGAGGAACCAGAGTTCTATGAAGCTATCGACTCTGCGCATATGAATACCTCCGAGTCCAACTCACCGAGGGATCCATCGGTGGACGTTGAGAGAGGCCGTCGTCCCTCCAACAGCCGGACTCCATCGTGCATCTCTCCCCGCGATCGGGACGATAGAAAAGAACGTCGTAAGGCCTCGATTCCACCCTGCGGAAAGAAAGATCCATGCGAGAAAAAGAGGGAGCGTTGTAAGGCCAAGGCTCGAAAGCAATGCCGGGATAAAAAATGTAAAACATGCGGAAAGAAGAAAGAGCGGGTCACTGAGAGAAGCTGATGGGCTGGATCACACTGATAAGGGTAAGAGAAATCTATTTACAACTAGGTGTATAGCTTTTCGTATTTTAGTTAGACAATATTAGAAGCAATCGTTCGATAGTTCGGCAGAATATCGATCGCAATAGTGCGAAACTACGTATCTCCATTACGTACGAAAAAAAGAAGTAGGGAATAAGTCCCAACTTGGACCTTTCCTCTTACTTAATATTGCGGTAATACCCCGATAAATAACCTTACCGACCTAAATGCTACGATACTATTAAAATTAATTGAAAATTTTCATATAATCCAACAAGTTGGGGCAGTGCCACAAATTTAGAAGATAATCCCTGAAACTTTTTTTCCGTGCGGTGTTTCAAAATTTCCGCTCTCATTTTATTTTCTCTAGGATAAACATGTCAAATTTTTAGCGTGAAATTCATGAAGAACTAGCTGCTCCGGGCGCCCTACGGGCGCCCTCCACAGCTAGCAATGGTGGTGCAGTAGCTTATTTGGAATCGGAGCGATTAGTTGAATCTATTTAATTATGATGATGATTCTGCGGCAGAAGATCAAGGAATTTAACTGCCTCTCTGCGTTACAGGGTGGAGACTGTCATTCTACCGAAAAATGTTATAAAAAGCTCGCATTATTAGTTTTTCTTTTTTTTTT